GGTTCAAGCAGTTCTCCTGCCTCAGTCTTGCGAGTAGCTGGGACTACAGGTGCGTGTCACCATGCCCAGCTAATTTTTGTATTTTCAGTATTTTTAAATTTTGTATTTTCACTGTTGGCCAGGATGGTCTTGATCTCTTGACCTTGTGATCTGCCCGCCTTGGCCTCCCAAAGTGTTGGGATTACCAGCATGAGCCACCGAGCCCAGCCTTTTGTCTCTGACTATAAATCAATGATTCCATCTTACAAACCATTAAACCCTATTTAGAAATTGTATTTTTCTTGGTAGGAATGGTGATTGGTAGTTACTTGTCTTAGACATGTCGAATACCTAGCACAATGTTTACACTGTTACTATTCAAAGGAAAGTGATGAGGCATTGATCCCAGCGTCAGATCTAGGTTTATACACAAGACAATGATTATACACTACTTTCCATGGTAAATTAAGGTGCTGAATCTTAAGAGAGGAGAAATTCTGAGAAAATCCCTCTTCTCCTTCCTAATAAGTAACCCAACAACCCCGCTTTTACGTGTAAGTAACATGTCAAACTATATGTAAAATGAATGTTGACCTATATTTTTGTTTCCATAAAATTGAAAACATAGATTTTTCTAGGCATTGCATTTTTGTTTATATGATTTCTTGATACTTTTGAAAGCAAGAATGCCTTAGTTCAGTGACTGTGACTCACGTTTTGGCCTCAGGCGCCTTTATTTTATTTTAATATTTATATATTATTTTGAGACAGTGACTTGCTCTGCCGCCCAAGGTGGAGTGCAGTGGTGTGATCATAGTTCATTGTAGCCAGGAACTTCTGGGCTTAAGTGATCCTCCCACTTCAGCCTCCTGAATAGCTGGGGCTACAGGTGTGTGCCACCATGCCCAGCCATTCTGGGCTCAAGTGATTCTCCTGCCTTGACCTCCCAAAATACTAGGATTACAGGTGTGAAACCACTGCCCCTGGCCCTCAGATTCCTTTGAGAATCCAGTGAAAACTATAAATCCTCTGCCCTGAAAAATATATAAAGACACAGAATTTTGTGTATGTTAATGTTCATTTATCATAGACTTTACCTTATAGTAGTAACTTAAAAACAGTTTTTGAGCATTTATAGCTGATGTTTTAGAGGAAGCTCAGAGGTAAAAGTTTAAAAAGAAAAGAAGGATACCTGTGGTTGGTGGAGTGTGTGTGTGCTCTCGACCCCCTCTGTGGGCTTCTTTTCTACCTCCTACTCCCTAACCTTCTTTTATTAGCTTTGTCAATTTAAATGGTTCTGGCTGGTCAGAGTGCAGTGGTGTTTACAACCAGTTCATCACAACCAGTTACAAATTTCTTTGTTCCTTCCCTATTCCCACTGCTTCACTTGACTAGCCTAAAAAAATAAAATAAAATAAATAAAAGCTTCCTAAATTTGATTTTTGCTGGGGACAGGTTTAAGTGCCACTTCTCCAGATGAAGGGTTAATAGAGGACTTGACTGTGGAAGACAAAGCTGTGGAACAACTGGCAGAAGGATTGCTTTCTCATTATTTGCCAGATCTGCAGAGATCAAAACAAGCCCTCCAGGAACTCACGTAAGCTAATAAAAAACCAGATATACACACATTTCTGCTGTGGCATAGTCATAATTTGATTGTATACTGTGTTAAGACATGATTTTTTTAACATTCAATTGTAATTGAGTATGTCTATATCTTTATTGACAGCAGATTGGAATAGAGGAGTTCGTAGTATTCTAAATGTAAAAAGTGAAATGAATACTTCCAGTTGTTTGATTTCTTCTAAGCAATACTCCTAAATTTTACCTAGACTTTGTGATTAGGTTTGGTGTTTTATTATTTTATGAAAGTATTGCCTATTGGGGATTGTTCGGATGGGTATACACCTGTTTCTGAGTAGAATTGAAAAATTGCCTCCATAAATCACACTTGTTTTCAGTTGCTGGTTCAGATGTGTTGCCAGAGATCTGTAAGTATCTTTTTTGAGATGATCTGTTTCATTCCTAGTAGATGACCTTACTAGTTAAGTAAAGATTGGAGGATATGTTAAGAAAACAGGATAAGATAGAACAGAACTCGTAGAATGGGATCAGTATACAAAACGCATACTCTGGCATTATCAGCTTCCATCCACAGACAACAGACTGAGCGTCTGCCTACTCCTGGGTCGGGCCCTCTCTGGATAGCCCAGGTTGGCCTGTCTGTCATTTCTTTCCGTAGTGGTCAGCTTTACGCTGGCAATGAACTGGTACTGCTCTGAGATCTACCCTTTGAAAACTTACTTAAGAGACCTTTGTTAGAGCAAAAGGAGAAGAGTAACAACTATGCTCATTTTGTAATTATAAGTAATGTTATAATTCTTGGTGTTAAGGTGTTAAATGCATATAAAGTGGTACTGAGGCAGGGTGCAGTGTAATCCCAGCACTTTAGGAGGCTGAGGGGGCAGATCATTCGAGGTCGGGAGTTCGAGACCACCCTGGTGAAACCCTGTCTCTACTAAAAATATGAAAAATTAGCTGGGGGTGGTGGTGTGTACCTGTAGCCCCAGCTACTTGGGAGGCTGAGGCAGGGGAATCGCTTGAACTCAGGAGGCCGTTTGCAGTGAGCTGACATCTGCACCACTGCACTCCAGCCCAGGTGACAGGGCGAGACTGTCTCAAAAAAAAAAAAAAAAAAAAAGGTACTGGGTTATTCTAAGACTACATGTACACTATAGTTACAGAATTGGTAACCTTCTCAGTTTTGTGCTAATCCCAACCAAGATTTTTTTTTTAGCCCTAGTGTTTGATAAAGTTTATATTTTGAGGCCAATCAACCCTTGTTGTTGTATGAGGTATGATAGATTGAAGGAAGGTTAAAAACTGCAAGCAGACGTATCTGAAAAATACTTTTACTTTCAGGAATCTGGGAACCAAGGTTTAATTGCAGAGTTTAATTGATGATATTGTCTAAAATTTATTGTTGCCCCTGATTATCTTCCTAGGCACTCAGACAACAATGATTATTTTGATGATGATAGTAAAATCAGCTACTGTTTGTTATTATATGTACTATATGCTCAGCACTTAAACATATTTCAGTTACTCCTGACACCAATTTTATGAAATATCTAGTATTATCCTCATTTACAATTGAGGACACTGAGACTCAGAGAGGTTAAGTAGTTTGAAAACGATTACACAGGTAGTAGTAGAATTAACTATTGAATATGATAAATTTCTAGTTATTATGCTTTTTTGTTTTTGAGATGGAGTTTCACTCTTGTCATCCAGGCTGGAGTATAATGGCGTGGTCTCAGCTCGCTACAACCTCTATCTCCTGAGTTTAAGTAATTCTCTTGCCTCAGCCTCCCAAGTAGGTGGGATTACAGTTGCCCACCGCCATGCCCAGCTCATTTTTGCATGTTTAATAGAGATGGGATTCACCATGTTGGCCATCCTGACCTCAGGTGATCCACTCACCTTGGCCTCCCAAAGTGCTGAGATTACAGGCATGCGCTACTGCGCCTGGCCGCATTCTCTGGAACCTTCTTTGAGAGTGGCCAGACTTATGGGTCAGGAAAAACTGTAATTAAAATTACAGTTTTATTATAAAGAGTACACATCAGGACTAGCCAAATAAAGAGTCACACAGGGTAATGCCTGGGAGGTTCCTGAACACAAAAGTTCTGTTTCTTCTTCCAGTAAGATTAGGATGTGTCACCTTCCACCTCCAACCCCTGCTGCCAGCACATCAGTGTGTTCAGCAGCATGGCATTCGTAACCACAGTCAACTATGGTCATGCTGCTGCACCTTAGCCTGGGTGACAGAGTGAGACTCTATCTCAACAACAAAAATTCAGTCTTTTAATCTGTGTACTTGGAATGTCTCTACTATTTAGATGTTCTTTGTTATTTTTCATTAGCCTCCCATCTTGACGCTCTAGGGGCCCAACATGAGTCACTTTATTAGTGTAAACTCAGGTGTGGTCCAAGGAGCTCACGGATAACAAAGACACTTCTGTCACTTGGAAAATTCCAAGGATTTTAGAAGCTCTGTGCCAGAAACCTGGGACAAAGATCAGACAAACTCTTTGTTAGATAACAGGTGTCTGTTCAGATCTTTTGCTCATTTTAAAATTGGATTGTTTTTCTTGTTGTTGAGTTTTAAGAGTTCTTTGTATATTTTTGATACGAGTCCTTTATATTTTTTGCAAATATTTTCTCCAAGACTGTGGTTTGTCTTACTACTCTCTTTACAGTGTCTTTTACAGAGCAGGAGTTTTTAATTTTAATAAATAAATCAGTTTTTTCTTTCATGAATTCTGCTTTTGATATTGTATCTAAAAACTCATCACCAAACCAAGGTCACTTAGATTTTCTCCTTTGTTTTCTTCTAGAAGTTCTAGTTTTGCATTTTACATTTAGACCTATGGTTTATTTTGAGTTAATTTTTTTTTTTTTTTTTAATAGAGATGGGGTTTCACCATGTTGACCAGGATGGTCTCGATCCCTTGATCTCGTGATCCACCCACCTCGGCCTCCCAAAGTGCTGGGATTATAGGCGTGAGCCACTGTGCCTGGCCTATTTTGAGTTAATTTTTATGGAGGCTGTAAGGTCTGTGTCTATTAATAGATTCATTTCTTTGCACATGGATATCCAGTTGCGTCAGTGCCATTTGTTGCTGTTGTTTGAGACGGGGTCTCACTGTGTTGCCTAGGCTGGAGTGCAGTGGCAGTCTGAGCTCACTGTAGCCATGATTTCTTGGGCTCAAGTGATGGCTCCCACCTCAGCCTGCCAAGTAGCTGGAACCATGGCTGGCCAATTTTTATATTTTTTGTAGAAATGGAATTTCACCATGTTGCCCTGGCTGGTCTTGAATTCCTGTGCTGTAGTGATCCTACTGCCTTAGCCTCCTAAAGTGCTGGGATTACAGGCATGAGCCACTGTACCCAGCCATCATTTGTTGAAAAGACTGTCCTTTCTCCACTGCATTGCCTTTGCACCTTTGTCAAAGAAAAGTTGATTGTTTTTGTGTAGGTTTAAGGGTTTTCTGTTCTTTTCCATTGATGTGTATGTCTGTTCTTTTGCCAGTACTATGCTGTCTTGATTTCTGTAGCTTATTTTGGTTGTTATTGTTTTGAGACAAGGTCTCACTCTGTTGCCCAGGCTGGAATGCAGTGGCATGACCTCAGCTTACTGCAGCCTCCACCTCCCGGGTTCAAGTGATTCTTGCACCCCAGCCTCCCAAGTAGCTGGGATTACAGATGTGCGCCACCATGCCCAGCTAATTTTTGTGTTTTTAGCAGAGATGGGGTTTCACCCTGTTGGCCAGGCTGATCTTGAACACGTGCCTCAGGTGATCACCTGTCTCAGGCTCCCAAAGTGCTGGGATTACAGGAGTGAGGCACTGTGCCTGGCCAGATTTCTGTAGCTTTATAGTAAGTCTTGAAATTGGGTACTGTGAGTCTTCCAATTTTGTTCTTCAGTATTGTGTTGGCTCTTCTATGTCTTTGCCTTTTTGTATGAACTTTAAAACAGTTTGTTGTTATCTATATAATAACTTGCTGGAATTTTGATTGGGAACCGAGACCTCGCATAGAGGCTCATGCCTGTAATCCCAGTGCTTTGGGAAGCTGAGGCAGGAGGATTGCTTGACCCCAGCAGTTCAAGAACAGCCTGGGCAACATAGTGAGACCTTTTTGTTTCATTGATTTTTTTTTCCCCTCTTTCTATTGTTTTCTAGTTCTAACACCTATTTTTGCTGTCCTGCTTATCTTGGATGGTTGACTTGGTGGGTTTTCCGCTCATCCATTCTGTATTTCACTTTCTGTGATTTCTAGTCCAAGCTAAAGGGACAAATTTATTTGTTTATTTTTATTTGTAGAGATGGGGTCTCACTCTGTCACAAAGCCTGTAGTGCAGTGGTGTCATTATAATTCATTGCAACCTCTAACTCAAGCAGTCCTTCTGCCTCAGGTGCCCAGTAGTTTGGACCACTGGTGTGTGCCACCATACCCAGCTAATTTTTTTTTTTTTTTTTTTTTTTTTTTTAGTTTTTGTAGAGATGGGGTCTCGCTTTGTTGTCCGTGCTGGTCTTGAATTCCTGGCTTCAAGCAATCTTCCTCCTTGGTCTCCCAAAGTACTGGGATTATAGGCATGAACCACCATGCCTGGCCAAGAGACAAATTTATGACTTGTGGGGTATGCCAGACTCAGTGCTAGATGGTAGACATGTTGTAATTGCCCTCAATCTCTTCTTTGCTGTTTCTTTTTTTATCATTATTCTCTAGATAGCACAGTTTTATAAACAAATCACAGTTTTATAAGCAAATCACATTTGCTTACAAATGTGATTTGCTTATAAAACTGTGCTATCTAGAGAATAATATATTTTTCTTTGTAATATTCTTTAAAATATTCAGGTAGGTGACCCTTTTAATGTCACTTATACTTATGATCCTAACACTGATTGGTGTGGAAAGAAATATCAAGGAAGTTGACTTCTATTCCATAGTGGGTTTTGAATCAAAATTATAATGAGAAACATTAGAAATTATCCGATCTGACCATCTCCTTTGTAAATGAGGAGGTGTAGGCCAGAGAAATAAACTGAATTTCTAAGATCATATAACTGGCTGTTGGCCAGGGAAAGCTATGATTTCTAGTCCTATGCTTTTTTCATCTTGCTGCTTAATTATCCCTTTTGACTTATTATCCTTTGATACTGCATTTTTCTCTACTGTAATCTGAAAAGCCATTATTCCTCTTTTCCTTTATGGGAATGTTGCAATTTTAAGATATATAAAATTAAATATTATATATAAGATATATAATATTTAAGACCAAAATTGGCTTTCTTGGGCAAAATACTATAAAAAATTCTTTTTTGAAATAATATAGAGAGTTGTTAAAAATAAGTATTAAAATACTTTTAAATGATTGGATTATTTTGAGTTATTAGAAATTGAAGGAAGAATAAAAGACACATTTAGTTACCAGAATGTGGCTTTAGAATATTATTTTGAAAGACATTATTCTAAATTAAATAAACCTTGGAGAGTTAATACATTTCCTACTTAATTTCTAACTGTTACATTAACCAAGATGAATGTGATTCCTTTTATTTATTTATTTATTTTTTTGAGACGGAGTTTCGCTCTTGTTGCCCAGGCTGGAGTGCAATGGCGCGATCTCAGCTCACCGCAACCTCCGCCTCCTGGGTTCAGGCAATTCTCCTGCCTCAGCCTCCTGAGTAGCTGGGATTACAGGCATGTGCCACCATGCCCAGCTGNTCCGCCTCCTGGGTTCAGGCAATTCTCCTGCCTCAGCCTCCTGAGTAGCTGGGATTACAGGCATGTGCCACCATGCCCAGCTGATTTTTTGTATTTTTAGTAGAGACGGAGTTTCACCATGTTGACCAGGATGGTCTCGATCTCTTGACCTCGTGATCCACCTGCCTCGGCCTCCCAAAGTGCTGGGATTACAGGCGTGAGCCACCGCGCCTGGCGTGATTCCTTTTAATGGACCAGTTTTAAATATGTAGAGTTTATCTTGGCTGTGTGTTTTTGTTTCAGACAGAACCAAGTTGTGTTGTTAGACACACTGGAACAAGAGATTTCCAAATTTAAAGAATGTCATTCTATGTTGGATATTAATGCTCTGGTAAGTATGATTTAGTTGATGTAACTTAATGACTTTAAGTTTAAAATTTGTCTTTTTTAACAAGAAACCTTGATTGAAGGTCTATTTTGTTGAATTGTTGTCTTTCAAATGTTGAATTTGTAGTAGGGAATTGAACTTACGTGTGCAGTTGGAATAGATTTGCTCAGAATTGAAGACTTAGAAAAGAGAACTGAGACCAAGCACAGTGGCTCATGCCTGTAATCCCAGTGCTTTGGGAAGCTGAGGCAGGAGGATTGCTTGAGCCCAGTAGTTCCAGACCAGCCTGGGCAACATAGTGAGACCCCATCTCTACAAAAAATAATTAAAAAAAATAGCTGGGCGTGGTGGCACATGCCTGTAGTCGCAGCTATTTCAGGATCTTAGGTGGAAGGATCACTTGAGCCCAGGAAGTTGAGGCCACGTTGAGCTGTGATCGTGCCACTGTATTCCAGCCTGGGTGATAGAGGGAGACACTGTCTCAAGAAAAACAAAACCAACAAAAAAAAGGAACTGAAAGTAAAGAACCTTTGAGGTACCTTTTTTTTGTTTGTTTAAGGAAAGTGTATTTCTCTTGATCAATTACATGGTTTCTTAAATTATCATTTTATTTAATTATGGCATATTCATAATGCTATAATAAATTTATGCCATAGGCTGAGGTAGACACTTTGAGAATGATCAGTTATATCTTTCAGTATAAATAGCTGAACAGTTGAATTTCATCAGAAGCTCTATAGCTTTTTGATGAGAGGAAGTGATACTCTTTATTGTAAGAAACAAGGAATTAACAAAAATAAGGAACTTGTTGCTACCTTTCTTTTCTATTGAACAGTAAAAATAGTTTGGTTTGTGGGCTGGGCATGGTGACTTATGCCAGTAATCCCAGCACTTTGGGAGGCCAGGAATTTAAGACCAACCTGGCCAACACAGCAAGCCCCCATTTGAAAAAAAAAAAAAAAAAAAAAGCTGGGTTTGCATGACCATAGCCATTTGTGCATACCTAAAAAAAAGTGGACTTCGCTTTGACAAAGGTGGCTTACTAATGTTTTCCATTTATAACAATCAAAAACAAAGTTCATATTCTCTGGCATTAGACAGAGGCCCATGGAAGTAAATATGGAGTTGTTTGCCTGGCCGTTCTTGTTTCTTGTGAGGAAGGTAGACAAGGCTAGCTACACTGACCTATTTTATGTTCACTACTGAGATCCTGTTGCAACAGAAGGAATATTTGTTGAATGAATTAACCAAGCAGATGTAATACTGTTGTTTTAGTCTGAAGGGGCAGGATGGAGTCTTTGTTTTTTTTTTTCTCTGAGTCAGGAGTAGTTTTGATTATCATCTACGAACTGAAAACTGGAAGTCCCAGGAACTGAAAACTGGAAGGCCCAGGGTATATAAAAAGGGACTGTAACTTCTGAGCTAATAAGACAATGGCTAGCAGCTTCATTAAGGCTGTGAATCTCTCTACTGACTTTTCATTCTTTTCTTCTCTTTCTGTAACCTTGTCTGAAAATAGTGTGCTTTTCTCCTCCTCTCTGACGTCTCTAGGCTTGCATCATCTTCCCATCTTCTCCTGACGTAAGACTTAATTGTAGATTATGCTGGTTGGCTAAGTTATAAAGTCTGTACTTATGACTCCTCAAGAAGGAAAGTGTCCTCACAGAGATCATTCTGCTTACTGACTAAAGGGCCCAGGGAATAGGATTAAAATTGTCCACCGTCTTCTCTGTCCAGGGCTCGGTGGCTATAGCTTGAATTTTCCTTATGAGCAGACTCTTCACTTAAACTGTTTCAGGTACTCTGGCTCAGTCTCTCCCTTGTAAAGGCAGTGAGAGTGTTTTACTTTTCTTAAATGAAACTGATAGCATTATTAAATAGTCTTACCTGAAATTTTAGAATTATATGTTTTTAAAGCAAAATATTGCCTATACCCGTCTTAATATAAATGTCTATTTTATGGGTAGTAACACTTTGTCAATCTGAATTAAATCAAATGTCTTTAAAATCCTGCTAATGATATAAGAAAATCTTTATTTTGGAATTAAAATGTGGAGATAAGGCTGTAAAAATTTTGACCAATTTAGAAAGCATGAACTGTCATTTATATATTGTCATTTTTATTCATTTTGATATTTTAGTCTATTTTAACTTGACTTTTCATTTATTATTCCATGTTAAGTTTGCCGAGGCTAAACACTATCATGCCAAGTTGGTGAATATAAGAAAAGAGATGCTGATGCTTCATGAAAAAACATCAAAGTTAAAAGTGAGTTGAAAATTCTTTCACATTCTTTACAAAAGTAGAGGTTTAATTTTTTTTTTTCCAGCATTCTTTTTTTTTTTTTTTTTTGAGACCGAGTTTTGCTCTTGCTGCCTAGGCTGGAGTGTAGTTATGCAATCCTGGCTCACTGCAACCTCTGCCTCCTGGGTTGAAGTGATTCTCCTACCTCAGCCTGCCAAGTAGCTGGGATTACAGGCGCCCGCCATCACCCCCAGCTAATTTTTGTATTTTTAGTAGAAACAGGGTTTCACCACGTTGGCCAGGTTGGTCTCAAACTCCTGATCTTGTGATCCGCCCGCCTAGGCCTCTCAAAAGTGCTGGGATCACAGGCGTGAGCCACCATGCCCAGCCAGTATTCATTTTTTGACTTTCATACTCTAACATGTAGTAGCATAATTAACTCATGGTACATTGTTTTCTTTTTAAAAATGTCATTTTTAAAGAAATGTTAGAGACAGGATCTTACTGTGTTGCCAAGGCTGGTCTTAAACTCCTGAGCTCAGGCAGCTCTCTGGCCTCGACCTCCCTAAGTGCTGGGATTACAAACATGAGCCCCTGCATGCAGCCTAAAATATGTTCTTTTTTGAACTGCACTCTCAGCTTCATTACTAATAGCTGGGCTGATAGGCTTAGATTCTCTGGATGTGTACTGCAGTTTTCATTTAATAAGAGCTTAGAGCAACAAATATTTTTCAATCAAAGGGACCTTAAATTATCCCAAATTTACGTGTCCAAGATGAAATTTATTAGTGTGAATGAATTACCTCAAAGCAGGGCACTATTATTTTCAAATTAGGCCATACCTGTAACCCCTGATTGCTCTCTTGGTTTAAAAAAATTTTTTTAACGCAGAAAAGAGCACTTAAACTGCAGCAGAAGAGGCAAAAAGAAGAGTTGGAAAGGGAGCAGCAACGAGAAAAGGAGTTTGAAAGAGAAAAGCAGTTAACTGCCAGACCAGCCAAAAGGACGTGAAAAGTTGTGTGTGTGTGTTTAATTCTCCTCTCCCATATTTGGGTTAAGATGACTTAAGTGTAGACTGAAGCTGAGGTAGTGCCTTATGCCATTATGTCAAATGTTGAAATTCTTATTCCAGCATTACTGTGTCTCCATGCCTTTTGGTTTTCGATATTTTTATTTAAGTTTTTCAAATTGTGTTTAATTTAAAATGTATTATTTCTATCTTGAATCACTTATAAACTGGAAAATAGTTTGATTATTGTCAGTCAAAACTCTTAAGTAGTTAAAAATTAGTATGAGTTTTTTAGCTTCTTAATGAATATAGATTTAAAACTCTCCGGTTCTTACTTTATGAAGTGACTTGTCTTTATGGCAATACAATGCTGATTTTTAGTAATTGCCTTTTTATTGCTTAATTAAGACGAAATGCCAACTGTTTAATCACACCTGCCTCTGGAAAAGAGGTGAGCCTTTTGAACAGTTGAATTTCATCAGAAGCTCGATAGCTTTTTGGTGAGAGGAAGTGATACTCTTTGTTATAAGAAACAAGGAATTAACAAAAATAAGGAACTTATTGCTACCTTTCTTTCTGTTGAACATGAAAATAGTTTGGTTTGTGGACCGGGCATGGTGGCTTATGGGAAAGAGGTAAGCCTTTGTGAAGAACATAATGGCAAAGTACATGCACAGAAAATAACAGCACTTTAAGTATAGTTCAGGTGAGCAAGATGCCAGATAGATTCTACTAACCATGTACTCTCTCTGCTTCTTAGCATCATTGTCACTGCTTCTGTAGCTTTTGGGTTCAAAGTAGATTACATCTATTCCTAAAGTTTGGTGGAGGTGGTGGAGCTGTCACACTCAAAAGAGCTTGTATATTTATAATAGTGTAGTATTATAGTAACATTTATCATACACTGGATAGTTTCTGTGCTTGTAAAAAAAAAATCCTTGAAGTGAGGGCAGGCGCTATGACTCACGGCTGTAATCCCAGCACTTTGGGAGGCCGAGGCGGGCAGATCACGAAGTCAGGAGATTGAGACCATCCTGGCCAACATGGGGAAGCCCGTGTCTACTAAAAATACAAAAATTAGCTGGACGTTGTGGTGTGCACCTGTAATCCTAGCTACTTGGGAGGCTGAAGCCGGAGAATCACTTGAACCTGGGAGGTGGAGGTTGCAGTGAGCCAAGATCAAGCCACTGCACTCCAGCCTGGCAATAGAGTGAGACTCTTGTCTCTCAAAAAAAAAAAAGAAAAATTATTTTGAAGTGGAATGATGTACACCAACTACCCACTTTATAGATAATTACAGGGATGATGAAAACTTAGAAAATAGCTTCACAAAAGAGGCAGCATGATACCTTTAGTGTTTTCTAGAATTTTTTTCTGGGTATTATATGTAGAAACTTATTATGTGAGGGAAATCTTGGGAGGTTTCATTGTTTAAAATCAAGAGTGTATTATTTACTGTTTTACAGTATTATTTAATATCTACCTGCTTTCCAATCTCTATTACATAGGGACTGTACAGAGCCTGTAAAGATGTATGAAAGTTTGTGTTTTATAATCCACAATGCATTTTTGGTAAGCTGGAATCACTACCTCTGATCACATATCAGGCTAATGATAGAGAAAGCATTAGGTTTAAGTTGAGGGCTAAGATCTGGTTTGTTTAAAGGTATAAATTGTTGGAAAGTGTGTTTGCCTCCTTTAATGAATGATGGTCTTACAATTCAGTTGACTTTGACCTAATATTTGGGAATATAAATATATTTTATTTAAAAAGGCTGAGTGTTGCCCTCAAACACTTGCTAAAACTGCCTAGGGCAGGATTCATTAGGGCTTGCAGACAATGTCACCTAAATTGCTGAATGTACTCGTTATGATATGATGTCTGACAAAGGTGTTACAGTATTTCTGGCTTGTTTTGGACCAACTGCAGTGATTATTTAAAATGCTGTTTCCTGCACACTACTCTCAATCTACTGAAGCACATCTGTTTTCTTTGTTTTGATTTGCTTTTTGTTTTTTAAAAAAAACAAAAAGTGATTCCACTGCACCTGAAAAGTTGAGAACTATAGGCCTCATGGTCGGTTGGGGTATCCCACACTAGGCTGCATAGCATTATCACCTGGGAATGTTAAAAAAAAATACAGACGTTCTTGATTCTTAGTGTTGTTAATGATTGTGGATCCCATGTATTTTTTAAAAAGCTCCCCAGATAATTTTGATGTCAGGAGTTACTAGTATAGACTCTCTAGTGAGTTGTATTATAAGCAGTGAAATACTTTAAAAGCTACCCAGTAACTCTGGGGATTAATTTTGTGAAATAAATTCTGAGCTGCTGCTTTTGACATAGTCAGACTTAAGATTGAACCCCAGCAGACAGGCAATTCATAAAGAATTCTGGTTTAGTTACTTGAACTTTTGTGACCTGTATAAAAAGAAATCATACTTATTGAACAAATGACAAGGCACAAATACTTTCAGAATTATTTAAGTTTTGGAGAGTTAAAGAAATGACAAAATGAATATATATTAGTATCCTCTATTTAAGGTCAATTGTAAACCAGAAGTACTGTTATTTTGGTGATTAAAATCCAGAACTTTAGCTGTATTTCAGTAACAAAACGTATCTTACTAGACTGTGATGGCTCACACCTGTAATCCCAGTGCTTTGGGAGGCTGAGGTGGGAGGATTCTTTGAGCCCAGGAGTTCAAGGCTGCAGTGAGCTCTGATTGCACCACTGCACTCCAGCCCAGATGACAGAGTGAGACCCTGTTTCTAAACACAAAACAAACAACGTATCTTACTGACTAAACTGGAATGGAACTCTTATAATTAGTCTTGCTGTATTTTTCCACAAAATAGTGAATTGGTACTTGGGAGACTTGTTTTTTGTTGAAAAAACTGCCTTTGTTTTGAAATTATATCACCTGTGTTCTGAACTAAAATGATGTGAGCTCATTTTGTATTTACTTTGCAGTATCATGTAAATATGCAAATATTGAATGTAATATAGATTGTGTCCTCATTGAGTTTTTGGGTGATACAGTTTATAATTATACCAACTATACCTTCATAACATTTGTCTGACTTTGAGCTTGTAAAATAACTACTTTTTACACATTTAATAAAAAAAGGTGTCTGAATTACCTGATGTCATTTATCAAGCATCCTTCTGTGCATAGCACTGAATACTCCCCTTCATGTACACTATTTCAAACATTCTACTCTTTTGCTCTATTCACCTGTCATTTCTCTTAATGTTCTCCATCTATTGTGTTACAAAATTATGGGTCTATTCATGAAATCTCTTTCAGAAAGGTGATAGAAAGGCCAGGCATGGTGTCTCATGCCTGTAATCCTAGCACTTTGGGAGGCCAAGGCAGGAGAATCACTTGAGGCTGGGAGTTTGAGACCAGCTCGGCCAACATGGCAAAACCCTTTCTCTAAAAAAATACAAAAATTAGCCGGGTTTGGTGGTGCACAGAATTACAGATGCTGTAATTCTGGGATTACAGAATCCCAGCCACTACTCAGAAGGCTGAGGCATGAGAATCACTTGAACCAGGAGTTTGCACCACTGCACTCCAGCCTGGGTGACAGAGTGAGACCCTGTTTCAAAAAAAATAAAAAAGTGATAGAGGCTGAGGACAGTGGCTCACACCTATAATCCCAACACTTTGGGCGGCTGAGGCGGGCGGATCACTTGAGGTCAGGAGCTCGAGACGAGCCTGGCCAACATGGTGAAACCCTGTCTCTACTGAAAATACAAAAATTAGCCAGGCATGGTGGTGTGCTTGTAATCACAGCTACTTGGGAGGCTGAGGCAGGAGAATCGCTTGAACCCAGGAGGTGGAGGTTGCAGTCAGCTGAGATCGTGCCACTGCACTCCAGCCTGGACAGCAGAGCAAGACTCCATCTCAAAAAAAAAAAGTTTTTCACTATTCTTTGAGAACAAAAATAATAGTTACTAGTAGTTTGGTAGAAAGTGCTTCAAAAAGATCCCTGCATGTATAACTTATAAAAAATGAAAATTTCCAACTAATAGAATATATTAGGTCAGATTTTAAACTTTTTTTTAAAAGGCTGTTTTACTTAAAAAAAAAAAGTGGGCTCTGGGAACAGAATTAGTCCATTCAGGCCTTCATATACATACCCTGAATAAGGGAGGCTTATAGGCATGTAAAGAACAATAAATAAAATCCACCTATTTTTAGTTAAAAGTAACAAAAAGTTGCCCCCTACTGTCACTTCATTGTAAACGGAGGAAAAGTTTGTAGCTGTTCATTCTGGATTAGACCATAAATATATTCCTAGTGAGCTCTAGGAAGCCTGTGATGGTCAAATCCTGTTAAGGATGGGCTGAAAATCACTCAGAATGATTGTCACTCTTATTTTTAGGCCTGACTTCTATTAGTCCATTAGAAGAAACAGTTAAAAAGTACAAGGGAATACTAAGAATAACCTGTCCATAAACCTGAAGACTCCTAGCCTCCACTTTGATTATAAAATTTAAAATTTTAAAGCAAAGAGGGCTTTAGTAATATAGTGGCTAGGATTATGGACTCAAGTCAGATTGAAGCCAGGTGTGATGACACACCTGTAAAACCATCATTTTGGGAAGCTGAAGCAGGAGGAGCACTTGAGCTCAGGAGTTCGAGACCAGCCTGGGCAACATAGTAAAACCCCATTTCTACCAAAAAAGAAAAAAAAGGAATTAGACAGGTGTGGTGGCACATGCCTGTAGTCCCAGCTACTTGGGAGGCTGAGGTGGGAGGATCATTTGAATCCAGGAGGTTGAGGCAGTGCACCATGATCCCACCACTGTACTCCAGCCTGGGTGATAGAGCATGATCCTGTCTCTAAATAAGTCAATAAAGTCAGACTGCTTTAGTTCATGTTCCTGCTTTACTTGGGGCCTTAGACAAATTGCTTAAATTCTGTATCCCTAAGTTTCTAAAACTGTGAAGTTAGGATACTAAGAGCTTGTAGCTTCATAAGGATGTAAAGTTTCATGATAGCTATATAAAAGCCCCTATTAACAAAATAGAGCTCAAATGTTGAGTATTATATCTTAGCACCTTGAAGTCACATATCTGCATTGGGGGACTACTTATTTTGCCACCTTCTGCACATCTATTTTTGCTCATCAGGTTTCCACTGCCTATAACTAGTCTGCCTGTTGGATACGTGTTCATTCTTTGCAAGTCAAATGGCACTTCTTTATGGTTTTTCTCACTGTTACCCAAAGAATTTATTTTTCTGTGTTCCCACAGTACTTTCATAATACATTGCCTCAACACTTAGAATATTAGTTGTGTGTTCATGTGTTTTTCAAATGTGTTCTGGGTATGTGACTGAAGGGAATTGTAGGAAGCAGTGAACTGCTGCTGCCTGGAATCTCCCCCTACCCCATTCCCTGCAGTCCCACCCTTTATCCAGCATGCTTAGGAATGTTGATTGCAGGTAACCCAAACAACTCCTATAAGTAGGAGGTAAGTAGAAGGTAACTAGAGTAGCTTAAGAAAGCAACCAGATGGCTTAACATGTCACCAGGGTCTTTCCACCCACTTTCCCTTTTTATGGTCTAAAAGGTTAGGCGTACCTTGCAAGCCCTGAGATGTACCTTGTCTCGCTACTGCCCAAGACTGTCTACTATGTAAGTTTCCCCTGAATATGTTTTTGGCTACCTATCAACCTGGAGTGGTCTGTCTCTTTCTTTGGTCTGAGCTTCCCCTCTGCTTATGGAGGCAATTATTGTTCCAGTAGGGAGTTTTCCTAACACGAGAGTAAAGATATTTCTTAATTATAAATGCCAAATAAGGAATATTACAATTAAAAAAATGAATTTCTGCAATTCAGAGATGACCAAGGAACCTGTAATCCTTGGTTAATACAAGCCACTGCTTCCATGCCTAATTATGTATTTAATTAGACTAAAAAATAATGATAACAGGTCTAGAGATTTTAGAAATTAAATGAGCTCAGAGACAATGAGTGAGCTGGAGTATACAAAAATAGATGTCATGTCTGTTTAGATTTATATCTTCTCCATCAACTGGGGGCTGCTCAGGTCTCTTAAAAATAGCTTCAGGAAAAGAGGTAGGCAGATCGAGAGCAGGTTCAACAGAAAATCCCGCGCTCAGACTTTTTAGACAAAACACAAAAAGGATAATGCTGCCATCTTGTGGTATTGTTCCCCTAGTTCTACATATTCTAGTAATGTCTCAACTGGTTTGATGAAGTTCAGCCGGCCTATGCCTTTTTTCTTTTTTGAGGCGGCCTTGCTCTGTTGCCCACACTACAGTGCAGTGGTGTGATCTCGGCTCACTGTAACCTCTGTCTTCTGGGTTCAAGCGATTCTTGTGCCTCAGCCTCCCAAGCACCTCCCAAGCTGGTGACTACAGGTACCCACCACCATGCCTAGCTAATTTTTTGTATTTTCAGTAGGGTTGGGGTTTTGCCCTGTTGGCCAGGCTGGTCTCAAACTCCTGGCCTCATGTGGTCTGCCAGCCTCTGCCTCCTAAAGTGCTGGGATTACAGATGGGAGCCACCGTGCCCGGCTGGCCTAAGCCTTTTTAACTATAGCTTTTTCGGCAAGTTAGGATTTCTTTGTTTAAACAGTGAGATGTTTGAAAGTGATCTATTTGAAACATTTTATAGGATTTAAGATATTTTCTAACTTTTTGAGTCTTCTAGTTTGATATTTAGGCTTGAGGTTTTGATCAATTAATGACCAATTAATCTGTCATCTTTTAACAACTATGCTCAGAATCCCCATTTAAGAAAAACATTCCCAGTCCAAAGATCTTGCTGGGATCCCATGTTTTTCCATGCTTGTATTCATCTGAGCCTATGATGTCAGGCCTTAGTTGGTTGGAGATGGGGTGGATACCTGGCCAAGAGTAGCCAGCCCATGGGCTGGTCAGTGATGAATTGGCCTGGCAGGGGAAACTCTGCCTGGTTGGAGACTGCAGGAAATCTCAACGGCCTAGTCAATTACTGTCTTGGACATATGCACTAGAATAGTTAGAGCAAGTCAGCCCTTTAGTAATTAAATAAGTGAGAGGGCACACAGATGCTCACAGAGAGTGGCTGAGTATTAAGTGGAGATGAGTGGCAGGTCCATGAACTTCTGCTACTAAAAGTGGCCAAAGTAATCAGCTTCCTCAAAATGCCTTGAATTCTGAGCCAATTTGCCTGTATGAGCTGTGTGGGACTTGAGAGCTAGACTTTTCTTGGGTTCCATGGGATTTGATTACTAGGCTAAGGTTCTTGTTCTCCACATTTTCACAAACATTTTTACAATACCATCCTCCTGTCCCTTACAAATCTCTATTAATTGCAACTATAAGCTTATCACTGCCTTTTAGGTTATTCTAGTAAGTTACATTTTTCAAAATGTTTTAATGTGCATTATTTAATAATGAGGATCCTACATAGGAGTTTATGTATTTCCATGTCTGCTAATCCAGGAATTCAAGGACAAAAATATCAATGACCAGCATAGAGATGTAATCTTGCTCTCAGCCACATACCTGTTTACTTTGTTTGCTGGGTGTTTCCCTTATTTTGTCCACTTTCTTTTCTTATTCTTATGTTTGGCTGGATTTCTAATACCAGATCTACTTCAGCTGCTTCTCAAACCTAGAATTCAGAGCCCCAGCTTTGTTGAGCATCTATTATATTTCAGTTGCTTTATACATGGTATCTCTTAACAGGAGCCTTAGGAGGTAGCTGTTGTTATTGCCATTTTACAGATGAGAAAGCTGAGACATATTGGGTCTGATAACAGCTCAGGATCACACAGATATAGGTGGTGGGGCTGGGATTTGATTTTTGGAAAAACCCAAAGCTACCATCTGGAAGGTGAATTTTCTTAAGTGGGAGACCCTAGAAGTAGAGAGAGAATTGACCTGAGGAATTTAACTTTAAATATCTTGATAAAACTGTACCCAAGATGGGAAATTATGGGGCAACACCAATTTATCTGCCAATTTTCTTTATCCACCCTGATGATATTGGAAGAAAATAAGTGGAGGAGGCATGAGTTTCTCTGTTAGGAGAGAGCCTAGTAGTGAGGACGAACAGAACTGTTATTTTCCTGCAAGGTTGCTTTAATTCTAGACAGACTCTAAAACTCCACACC